AAGGTTTTTCTTATACTTTACTTTAAACTGTTCTTATGAAACAAACTGTTTTCAAATCGTTTTACAAAATGACGTCAAGTCATCCTTTCCTAGTTATTAAACTTTTCAAAAGGTTTTACAAAACTTCTTTTATATTGTTATATTGTCAATTGCATGCCTATATATGTATAGTTATATAAGTAATGTTTAAAGGACTTAGGAAGGCTAGCTCGCTTTAACTCTTTTCCTCGTTGGGATGTGGCTTTAGGGTATCGGTTATCCGTCTGAAGGTCGTTTAAATATTAGTTATATATCATGTGTCCATATATAGTCATAAAAGTTCTATCAGTCAATTCAATACCCTTGGGTAGCAAGGGTATACTTTCATGTTCATACGTACAAGTCATATACTAGTAAACTACGATAGGCGTAGTTTAGGAAGTTACTAATACTATTACTAGAACATTACAATACATGCTAGATAGAGAGTGAACACACAATACAGCTAGTACACACAGGACATTTCAATACATGCTAGATAGAGAGTGAACACACAATACAGCTAGTACACACAGAACATTACAATACATGCTAGATAGAGAAAGAACACACAATATAGCTAGTAGACACAGAACATTACAATACATGCTAGATAGAGAGAGAACACACAATACAGCTAGTACACACAGAACATGCAATACCATACAGAGAGAACATACAGGCTAGACAGAGGGAGAACATACAATACAGCTAGCACATTCATTTCATATACATTACTACAGTTATGTGAGCCATTAAACGGGGCATGGCACTACCTGTCATGACCGTTTTTGTACCCAGAATCTCCTTAATTGGGGAGCGTATGAGTTTGTGTATAGATCTATACTGGATTGACTATCCTACACCTTGCTGCTCGCTACAGTGGGACTTGTAAGTCTACGGGTGTCAAATGTTATTTTTTATGAAGTCTTATATTGTCGTTTTTCTATTGAGTCGGTAGCAGGATACAGGCCGATCACATGGTACTTTAAATTACATTTGGTTAAAGGTAGTTAGTACAACAGTAGTCACTTACCATAATACTACAATACTATTTCATTTTCCCATTACATTTACTTTGTGATATTCACACAATAGGCAATAATGTAGAAACTATATTTTTGGTTAATAATAGTCAGGTTTGGGAAAATACACAGTCTTACAAGAGACACAGACATATACTAGATGCCTTGGTAGAAGGCTACTTTTAGTAGGAAGCATAGGGTTTTCTAGGAGGTTCAAAACTTTTACATACTTATACTTCACATACTTATAAATACTTTCTCACAAATACAAACACTAAAATACTTATGATCTCACCATCGTTAAAGCTGATAAACTCTTTCAAAATAACTTGTCTCCTCAGTTCATCAATAGACAGGTACCGATGCAAGGTTTAGAGAAGATGGAGCTCGTTCATAGTCCTCAGAACTTTATTGCAATGGATGATTTGTTGCTTGTTTACTACTATTCATTGTTGTGATACTGTACATGACGTCCTCCGCCCCAGAAATTTACCATATCATCTCATACCTTCCTCATGCTCTATTCTTCTCTATCTTTACCTCTCTCATACACTTATCTCTCTGCATCTCTTTACTTGTCACCTACTCTTATCTTATCTCATATCCCGACTGTAACACTCACGTGTCTCGCTAGGCATTAATAAGATGATGGAATAGTTAGGGTCAACAAATGTAGCCTATTTGGTGTGATGAGGGAAAGTTTTGTGAATATTATGTGTTCTATGCGTAAATATTTGTTGTATACGTGCTTATAACGAAATAATAAAATATGAATAAAATACAGGTCTAAATAGAATAATAATTAGGATGAATATCATTGACGAAAGTTGAAGTAGTTATTACAAGGATTCTGGAGACATAAGGAACACTTAAATCCGACTTATAACGAAGGAGTTATGATCCATTGAAGTTTCACGTTCGACCCGATACAACTATAGATATCATAAAGAGTGAATCAGAGATAGATTACTTTTTTTGCCTTAGCAATCTAAACGAAAGTCATAGTAGTCGTTAAAAGGAGAGCGTACGTGTAGAGAACGTCTAAATATTACTTGATTAGAGGAAGTTATGGTTTTTCTAAGATTCAGCGTAACAGTATACAACTTAGAAATCAACTTTTAGATTGGTCGATTTTTAGTGGAAATAATCTAAACGAGAGTTGAAGATCTCTTTGATAGGAATTGAACAATATAGAGACAGTAAAAAACGGACGTCGGATGACAAAGTTATGAATTTTACACAAATTTAACAGTCTAACCCTATGTGAAATAAATAAATTCAAAACTAGCCAATGGAGTCTAAATGAAAGTTATAGATCTCGTCGATAGATACGCGTGGATATAAAGTACGTAAAAAAAGTCCGTATGAAGATGTTATCCAATTTTTAAATTATGAAAAGTCGTCACGTGCATGTGCATGGCGCGTATACCTTCTAGAAGGGGGCGACGTGGCTCTAGCCAGAATTGGACACGTCTTAGCCAACGGGTAGATGAAAGTGCGCGATGCGCACCCCTATGCGCGACCTGAAATGGAGAAATTCGCCCTATAAATACATGCTCGCCTCCTGATCATTCCTCACCCCTCCACGCCATTCTATCTCGATATTCTTTGATTGTTATCCATTTTCCTAGTTTTAGTATCCCGACGAAGCCATGTGACTCATGAGTGTCCGACAAGTAGTAGTCATTGAGTAGGAACTCTACCAGTACAAATTTCTAGACTTTTGTCTAGGGAATCTCTGTAAGTTAAACTACACTCTATTATATTTTAGTGTAATTTATATTTAGATTCATAGTCGTTATTATGAATCTATAAATAAGATTTGTCAGTGCTTCCAACGTCATATTACAGATTGATCTACTTACGGGGATGATGTCTAGGAAGGATTTAGTGAGGTGTTTAAAGTGGGATTTCTAAACAATATACTTGTATACCGAACAGACCCTACCTCCGGTATGATCATACCTGGTTGTCTCTTATTAGCTATAGATCAGTCGACATTGGGATCGTTGAGAAATCTAGATTATAATAAACTAAGACTTAGATATAGTTGAACCTAGGTCATATGAAAGGAAAAACCAAGTGCTGAAGCGAAGCACTATCCAACTTTCTAGTCATCCACTTTAACAAGTGAGTGCATAGTTACTTTCATCTTACATATAGATATAAAGTAGTTAAGATAATTACATGCTATATATGCATATTATCTGTATGCGTGATATCTATGCTAGATGAACGATATATACATTTTTACTTGATTAAATCCGTATATATATATATATATATATATATATATATATATATATATATATATATATAAATTTATACCGATAAATATATAGGGTGGAGATGGGTTGAAAAAAGATGATATAGATGTTGAGAGATGAAAGATGAGATAGACGATGAGAGGCCTTGACTAAAAGATGATATAGTCTTTTACCGGAGTATAGATGACGACCACAGACGGTTCTAGATAGTCCAGTAGAATGCTAGCAGGCTCTCAACTTGTAGGTGTTTTTGAACTAAGTGTTCACCAGATGTACTTCATCCCCCCTGGTTGCCTTATTGACATATAGTGCTAAGGAATCCCCTGAGCATTATTTTCTAGCCTGAAGATAATCCTTAGGATAGGTCGCCCATAAATAGATACTTTAGGGACAGAAAGGAAGGATAGCGGGATTACGTAATCTGGTTGAATGTATTGCTGAAAATTTAGAAGTAAAAGAATATAATTCTTGTGGTTTAAAAACCCTACGTTCTCACCTGGTTCCGAAGCATGACGCAATCAGTCTCTTGTATCACTGGTAGTGGAACGAGAGCACATGTGTGATGATTTATGAGAGATTTGTGGAATATAGGTCAGTAGAATAACATATGTTTGTAAGGCCTGTATTATTTCCGTTTATGCTTATGCACTATATTGAAGATGAAATCCTAACTTTTTTAATATAAATAAAATACATTTCTTCATGAATGTGTTTATAATATCATTATCATGTTTTTGGTAACAAATTTTGCAATGTTATTCTTTAAAAAGGATACTCTGATTTTAAATAAGCATAAACAAATTGGCCTTTTCTGGCCGTGAAATTGGGGATGTCACAGTTGGTATCAGATCGTTAGTTTAAGCGAACTTGCAAATTGTAGGATTTCTATACTTAAACTTAGAATGCTAAGCGATGATTGTGAGATGAGTGTCTACTACATTTAGGAACACTACTAGAAAAACACCCTTTTACGACGCGCAATGCGTGTCGTAAAATGCTCAGACGACGCACAAATGCACATCAAGAAAGGCCCTATCATAACGAAAGACGACGCGCATTTGCGTGTCATCTGTTTACGACGCGCATTTACGACACGCGTTTACGACACGCAGTTATGACGCGCAAGGCGTATCAAGGAAGGCCCTGTCATAAAGAAAGACGACACGCATTTGTGTGTCGTAACCTTATGACGCGCGTGTTTATGACACGTAAAGCGTATCAAGGAAGCCCATGTCATAAAGGCAGACGACACGCCATTGCGTGTCGTAACGTTACGACGCGCCTTTACGACTCGCAATGCGTATCGTTAAATCTACTGTCATAAACGAAGATGACACACATTTGCATGTCATAAATTCCAGCTGCCAGTTACTATACACCTTTACGACGTGCATTTACGACACACATTTACAACGTGAATACACATAATAAAAGACAAAATATATATACCAAAACATTCATTTTCATCTAAACGTCAAACAACTTACCAAACAAAATTACATATATGTCAAATTACCTAAGTTACACTACATGTCAAGTTACCTTAGGTAAGATTACTAAAAGTTAGCAAAAACATGTACATGCTTGTCAAAAGACTACCTAGCATTACACCACATGTCAAAAGACCATACCTAGCATTTCACTGTTAACCATAACATTGTTTTGCGTATACATTGTCAAAAGACCATAATCATCGATAAATGAAGCCTGTAACAAACTCTGACCATTCTTCACGTATCTTATCGATATCATCAGTTGTGTACTCAAATTTTCCCTCCCCGGTCTGTGAAATTTGCATATTGTTTTTATTAATAAAAAATTGCATATTAACATATTCTGTAACAGTAAGTTGCTATATTTAACAAATAAGCATAAAATGTAAATTAGTCTTTCTTAATACAGCATTGTACTTTCAAATGAATGAAAGCACATTTTATTTTTGCATGTAACCTAAAATTTCAATGATAATTGTGAGAGTAGGATGCCATAAAATGATCCTTTTTCAATTCCTTTCCTATTAAATTATTGTAATGAAAGTAGAATGCTATATCCTTACAGTCTTTGACCAACACTTCAATTCCTTCTTCCACTACCTCCTTCAAGAACCTTAGCATGTAGTAGCTACATTCGGTAGCTCCGGGCTGAACTGGACACTACACATTACATATAAAATGATCATTGCAATTGATCCAAAAAATAAAGTTAAAACTACAATTTCAATAAGGAATTAAGTGCTGACCATAACATTAACCCAATTTAGTTTAACCCTTTTGTTGGATCCACTTTGTGTAGCATACATAACCATTGTCCTATAAAAACATTAACAAGTAGGTGTTTATTGTATTCACATCAATTGTTTTGATAATTTATATTACTTACGAATCAACAATTTGCTTCAAGTGCATATTGAAATTACCAGAACTCAAGGAGTCAAGATAATAGCAATTATCCGATTTCATGTCTAGTACACCCAATACCAAATGTCGTCTTCTACAAAACCAGAAACAAAATTAAGTCAAATAACATAATTGCAGTCATTTTCAAAATAAAATGTCAAAATCAAACCCGCGATTGTAGGGCATAAAGACGATGTCATTGCCCTTTCTTTTAGACAACCAATCTGCTAAACCTCTGCTTGCATCGTCAATATTCTTAGATCTCCCTTTACGCGTACTTGGCGAGATTAATGTCGGGTTCACAAAGCAAATTCCATGATCTCTTTCTGGGGAGCCATACTTCATTTTGTTAAACAACACCCTGTTATCATAAAAACACTAAATTCATTAAACACATTTTGTTATAAGACACAATGATATTTAAATTAAATTTCTTGCATTTACATCATATAAGACACAATAACAACACCTGTTAGCTCATCCATTGTAAGAACTGCTTCAAAATCATCCCAAGTTAAGTACGTGTAACTATCGTACCCAAAAAGATCGTTCTCACTCTGCACTTTTATAGAATCAACCTTTGTAACTTGTCCAACAGCCATCATTGCAGTCATTTTCAAAATACTACTCTTCTCAATCCTTATCATTGTCTTCATTTGTGCTCTGGTCCACCTTCTTTGCAAGGTCACATTATGTTTCTCCTTCTTTTTAATCTTCTTTTCTATTCCATTCCCTTCTTCCATATCATCCCCTTCTTCCACATCATATGGTTCTTTTTGTTCATCAATCATTTTTCCTGTCCCCTTTTCTTTCTTATTACTTCCTATTTCTTCTTTTAAAGGTGTTGCACCATCCGTCACTGGTGTTGCATGTTTCTTCACTGGTGTTGCATGTTTCTTCACAGGTTTCCCCGTCACTTTTCCCTACAAAAATTATCAAAAATACAGAATGAAACAGGAATCATTTACTGAAGCTGAAAAAGAACTCACTCAAATATCAGAAAAAATAAGAAAACCAAGGGCAAATCTATGAAAACTTTGTATGTTTTAAATCTGTGAAAATTAGCAGGTCAGAGCATCGAATAACTAAGTGTCTTGGCCAACTTAGTATGTGTCCCAGTGCATCTTTGACCTTCACAATGAACTCCTCTTCAAGTGGAATAGGTATTAAAGCTTCTCCTTGTAAAAATTTTTCCATCATAACTTCAATGTTTTCATCTGTTACATAAACGAAAAAAGTAATTAAGATCCAATCTTCTGAAAAATGAAAATATATAAATAGTAATAATGCAAATATTTTTCAAAATACCTGATGCACTATACTTCATTATGGTTCATTTAGTGACTGCATTTGCAGCAAATTCAACCGCAAGAAGACTTGAATTATCCTACCAAAATATAGTATGTTAGTTTGTAGAAAAAGAAAATTCTTTAAATATATTTTTCATAATTGTCTTCAAGGACTTACAAGTGATTCATCTCGTGATTCTTTTTCAACATCTTCAATGACGCCCCCTACTTGGCAACTTGCGGCTTCAGAAATATTAAGTACACCTCTTTTTCTTTTCTCCTCCAGTCATCTTCAAGTTTGTTGATTCGTTTATCCACCCTATCGTTCTCAATCTCCAAGTAATACTTAACATTCTTGGGTAAATAAAAGTATTGTTGTGGCGTTATAAATTTACCCATCCCTCGTACACGCCCACGTTGTTCCTGAGTACCCAAGGCCTCTGTAAGCACATCATGTGTTCCACATGTAACCTCTCCAAAGCTTCCAGATTTCTGCAGCTCATCCTGTAAAAAAATTGGGACAAATGTTGAAAAAAAACGGGACACATGTTATCTTTTATATATATATTTGGCATTGAATGAAACTTACAATTTTATCAACAATCATCTTGACATCTGATTCGTATCCTCCTGTCTTCAACTCTCTTGCTTTTTTCCACAACAGTGTCCTATCAATCTCCTCTTCCGTCTTGCCGGTTTCTTGCATCTAAATTATCAAGAATAACAAAGGCAATTAACATAAATATATACAAATAAAATAATCAATACTTAGTGGGAATCATACGATTTCATTGAGTCTGGCATATCCTTTTCTGCTCAAACGATGATTGTATTTTTGATGTGCACGGGTATTTTTAGCTTTTGTACTTTTCTCCTGCATTAGAAACATTAAAATTGTAACTACGAACATTTAACTTTCCACGTTTTGGTAATTCTATGGGATATAAATGCATATAAGGAAAGTTTAACCAACCTCCCACTTTTTTGTAACTCTATGGGATACAAAAACTTTCCTGTCTTCTTTCTTTATAAACAGATAATCTTTCGGAGGTTTGAATAGATTTGCCTTGGGATATTTACTTCGGTTCTTAATGAACTTGGCATATAGATAATGCTTGAAGTTTCTCCACTTCTTCCCGATCGATTGGACAGTTTGCTTCCAGCTCTTTGGGTCAACTACAAACTTTTCCTGAAACATAAAAAAAAGGGTTGGTTAAAAAACAGATCTAAACAGGGACAAAAACAAGGACAAAAACATAAACAGTGGATAATATAACTTGGTTCAAAAACAGGGACAAAAACTGGTAATAACAGGAAGAAACAGAGACTTCCCAAAACATATATCCATAACCCTTCCCTTACTTCTTCACTAACTTCCAGCCAAGACTCATAGCTTATGGGAACCATTATTCTTGCAACCAAACCCTCAAAAGTAGACAGTTTTGTGGCTTCCTTTCCGACCGGGACACCTTTTTTATTGTAAGTTATTACAAGTTTCACTTTATTAGCTTTTGCCTTTGTTGTCGGACCTCTTTGTTTGGAGTCTTCATCGTGATCAGAAACTGAATCCGATTCCATGTCACAAAAACACAACCTGTTTCAACAAGATTCAAATAAAATTAAGTACATTGTTATTTGTTGCAGTTGGAAAAAAATTAATCACATTCAAAATCTGAAATATAAACGTACCAAAAACTTTATTATTCTGCAAAAAAATATTTAAACTAAATATGCCCTCGCCATCCGGGCGGGTACAGAAAAAATCATCATCAAGGTCTAATAAAGCGGAGTCTTGTGTTAAATCAAAAGTAGCATCAAATTCCAACATATCATCAGTTTCACTATTTGATCCATACTTGTACATCCTATGTGGTGTGAATCCAACAACATGCAAATTCTCATCTTGTTGATCTTGAACATAAAAAACCTGTTTGGCTTGACTAGCTAATACGAAGGGTTCAGACTTCTGACCAAGTCTATCAAAGTTAACTACCGTGAATCTTAAATCATCCTTTTTTACTCCACGACTATCAACCCAATCACACATGAATACAGGAATAGTAAACATGCGATAATCAAGATCCCATATCTCCTTTATACGACCGAAGAAAGTAACAGCACCATACACAGGATTGGAGTCTTTTGCACTAGCAATCTGCATAATATGTGCAACTAAAGATACTCCACTGCATTGAGTTGTTCTAGACTCATCTCAAGATGTTGTATGAAAACGATACTCATTTATGGAAAAACCTCTATATTTACTAACAACAAATTTAGGCCCTTTGGCCAACCAACGAACATCATCACAAATATCTTCCCCGTTAGCCAAACGTTTTTCAACCTATTAGAAAAATATCTACTTAATGTAATTCAAACAAAATAATTAAAATTATTGTAATTTTAACAATCTTATTTTAAAAATAAACCTCTTTCTTAAACCAACTAATAAAAGTCCGACTATGTTGGCTCTGCAACCATGTACTTTTGTGAGCGTGACGGGGGTTCAGATCCTTCAAATCCAACATATGTTGCCTGAAGTGTATTACAAGTTAGAAGAATGTTTTATATGATAGATAATGGTATAAGAGTATACAGTTTCATGTAATTCTTACTCTATATACGGCTCCACAACAGCAGTGTTTCGTAATACATAAAGATGAGCTTGATCAAGTAACTGAGCATCTACAACATCGATTGTAGCCTTTGATAAAGGCTTGCCGCTGCGGATTCTTTCATCAACACGATCATGAGGATTGCCAATTGATTTCGTGTTTTTTAATTAGCCTGAACAAAATTCTAAGGCCTCCTCCGCCACATAACACTCTGCAATGCAACCCTCGGGTCGATGATGATTTCTTACATACCCTTTAAGTGTTTTCATCTATCTCTCAAATGGATACATCCACCTAAAATGAACTGGGCCACACAACCTCACCTCTCTAACTAAATGCACCATCAAGTGATTCATGATATCGAAAAATGAAGGAGGAAAGTACTTCTCTAACAAACATAATATTAATACGATGTCACTTTGTAACTTGCCTAGCTTACTAACATCAACAACTTTACTACACAACTCATTGAAAAAATGACACAGGCTTAGGATTGTTCTCCGCACCTTCACATCTAACATCCCTTTGATTGCAAAAGGGAGAAGTTGTTGCATTAGTACATGACAATCATTAGACTTCAAACCATTCATCTTTGAAACATCATCCGACATGAGATTCTTGAAATTAGAGCAATACCGATGCAGAACTTTTATGTTAGACAGGGTATCATAAAATAGATATTTCTCTGTGGAATTCAATGTGTACTTGGCAGGCAGAAGCCAATGTCGAACCCCTTCTGTTGAGGTCGTAATTCAGTCTTAATGCCCAACGCTTCGAGATCTTGTCGTGCTTTTAATCCATCCTTCGTCTTGTGAGGCAAATTTAACGCTGTCCCATAAACACTCACGATCACATTTTTTTCTATGTGCATGAGATCTAACTGATGGCGAACAGGCAACTTCTACCAATATTCAAGTTAAAAAAAATCGACTTTTTTTTGCCAAAATATAGATCTCTCATCGATACTTTCTTTTTTCTTCTTTGAATTTTCCTTCTTTGGCGTTTCCTTCTTTGACGCTCCCTTCTTTGACTTTATCCTCTTTAACTTTATCTTCTTTGATCCTACCTTCTCTGACTTTATCTTCTTATCCCATGTAGTCTTAAATCCCGCCAGATAGTCATAAATATCTTCACTTTATCTTCAACCATGACCCACCAATATGTTTTGATTGCTGGGTAATGTATACATATAGTCTATTTAGAACTACATTTATTGGTGATATTTTTTATGTTCATAATTTGCTAAATAACTTTATTTTTTATTTTTTGCTATAGTTCTAGTTAGTAATAAAGATTTATATTGCCTCTTTACAGGAATGTGAGTTATTCACTTTCGGTTTCAATTGTATGTGATTCATATGAAGTTCATGTTGTTATGTAAATGAAGGAAGTGAGAGATGAGTTTTGTGAGATGTCACCTCAAATCCAAAAACAAGATATTCATGAAGTTATTGATCTTGATATTCTTTCTCAGGTAGGATTTTGAGATTTTCATTAATAGAAGCTTTCATCCATGGCACAAGAAAACAAACTTAAAGAATCTCATCAGAAAGTTCTCTCAGAACTAGCTGAATTATGCCAGGCTAACATGGTCAATACACAAAAAAATTTAATGAGGGGAGGTAGAGCTGAAAGTTCTGGAGTGCAGCAGTTGGCTATAAATATTCTGATGTTGATTTTTTTTGCCTTATGGGATAGGTTGCTCTTTCAAGAAAGTCTCCGTATGTTCAAACTGCCCACAGGCCTTTCTCGACAAATAAAGATCATCTTACTAATGCAAGGAGAAGTAGGGGTATTTTGGGCATTTATATTATTAGTTTGTTATGTCAGATAGTATAAGAGGGTAGTGTTATTTTTTATTTTTCTTGCAAAATGATAGTTTTCTTCTGCTTGTAATGAGTTCTTTTTTAATGTAGAGAGCTGAGAATTGCATAGACTATAGCACACATGGAGCGTGAAGGTAGTGTGAGTCCACGAATATCACCATTAGCACAAGTATAATATTTTTCATATCTATTTACTGAATTGTCCTTATCTATTTCCATCTATTCATTTGATAGATATCTATTTAAAGGACGAAAGTAAAACATGTTTTCTCTCTTATAACACATGTGCACCCAAGACCCGCATGTTTATATGACACACATGCAAAACAATAACAGATTTAACTAACAATGATGTCACTCTTATCTTTTAATTTACATACCATTGTATTTGTTTGTATATCATCAATCTACATTTGTAATTTGGTTGTTTGCTTACTTTTCTCTTCTACTTAAAATTTTCCTACTTTTCATTCAAACTTCTGTTTTAAATGTTCTACTAAAAACAAATAGAAACTGTCTTTCATTCAAACCACAACCAAAACAATCTACATGCAAATACCATAATACTCAAAAATATTATATGCATAATTAATATAATTAATATATGCACAAATTACCTATATATAGTAAATATGATCCAGCATCAATTTCTTTAAGAAGCTTCTTGATACCAATCTATATCCTATTCCTAATTGCTATTTATTAAATATTATTTTGTTTTCACGAAATAGATGTCAAGTAAAAGTGGAGGTGAGGGATACCAGAAAGGTCAGCAGGCTCTGGGCGCTGTACTTGTGAATGGTTTCCGCACTGAATAGATTTATTATAGCATCATCCTTTGAGGCTGCAGCAAGTAACAGCACAATTGTTGCTTTATCACCCTTTGAGGATGTAGCAAGTAACAGAACAATTGTAACTCATTGTAACTATATGCATATTGCAATGCACAATTATGAAAAAAAATTAACAGACATTAGCATTTAGCAAGTTATGTGTGAAGGAAGGTTCACATAATGCAATCTTGGATATTATACTTTAAACAAATTCAAACATGCTATCATCACTTTACCACATAAGGTACTAACACATTTAAGAGAATGATACTTGAATATGCAGCTTATTGAATGATTAATAACACATCTAATCACATAATATAATTGTTGGATTAGTGTCTAAGTCCATAACTATATTTGGTATGTACTTGACCCGACCAGGCATGGTCCATTTGGGTTGCATGGCATCATGCACTTGGATAGACTAAATGAGAGAAATAGGACACTTATGGTTATTAATATATTATAAGTTCTAATATATTAATAATAAGAATAATAATATTTAATTAGTATTGATCAAGAATTAATTTAGAATTAATTATGTGATCAAAAGAAGACTAATTAAATATATGGGTTGATTGTGTAAATCATCCATAACTTATATAGTGGGCCAAAGCTCCATGGATAATCAAGTTGGGTTAAACCCATAGGTTGCTCCATGGATGCTCAATGGAGGTTACTTAACCCATGGGTCATGGAAATGAAAGGTCATGACAATTAGGGTTTACATGGTGTAACCCTAATTGTAACATACTATATAAGCATCATATTATTCACCAAAATCGGACACTAGTGTGTGTAAAAGAAGGGCTTGAAGTGTGGATTTCTCTCTGAGTTATTCTAAGAGCATTTGATGTTGTGTGAGCCATTTGAGGTGTCATATTTGAGGCACTAGGCACTCAAGCCCCATGGAGTCCAGCTACACTACAAAAGGTATGTATTCTATCTATATTATTACCCAAGTATCTATGATTGTATGCTAGATAGGGTAATACCTTGGAATATTAGCATTTGCATGTATATTAGAGAAAACATAGATCCAAGGTATTTAGGGTTGCATGTACACTTAGGAGTGTTAGAATGCTCAAAACCCAACAGTGGTATCAGAGCCTAGGCTTGTTTTCAGTTATACTTGATGCAAACTGATGCAAACTGAGCCAAGAATCTCGAAGCCAAGGGACCTGAAACTCGACGAGTTCTGAGGAAAACTCGACGAGTTCTTTTTTCTGAGAGGAAAACTCGACGAGTTCATTTATTAGAGCATGAACTCGACGAGTTCCATGAAGAACTCGATGATTTTGTCT